AAGTGGATGACAAAATCCATATTGCATACACACTGCTAACTTCGCGCCAATATGCATTTTTTCATTTATCAGAGATGAAAAAACACACAGTAATTCACCAGCCTCGCGGAAAAAGAACTTGTGGTCTTCGAGGAAATAACTCAAATGAAATAAAACTTTCTATGAGGTGCACAAGATAACTAAACGAGCTACCACTCCAACTTTCATTTAAGCATTTAGGATAGACTCAAATAAGCAAATGCGCAAAGTAATTTGTGCAAAAATTCGCGAAACATAAATGCAAAAGAAAAAAATTTTGATGAAAAGATCCATAAAACGATACTGTTTTACTGGCGAGGTACTCCATTCCATTAGCAACCTGATACCCGAAAGAAATGAGATCGCCTGTTGTCAACATGTTGCTTTCTTTTCGCCGCTCCTCATCCACTTGCATGGACCACTGTGAATCTAGCTGGGCCTGCAAGTATGCCTGATTATTTTCATAGAAAAGCGATTAAAAATAAGAAATGAGCCAGATGTAGGATGAGAGGTGAGTATGCAAAATAAGAAAAAAGTTACTATAAGCCGAAATGTACCCAGATTACTCGAAAAAACATTTAAGAGGAACTTGATAAAAAGTAATTCTGCTCAGTTTTGCATAATGAAAACAATTTTTATTCACTGAAAAACATTTTAAAAATGAAAATTAACAACGTTAAGAAACCATTATTTTTTAAGACAAGAAAAATTTGCGCTACGCTCCTTGAATAGGTCGGGGCAAGGAAGAAGAGCTAGGTAACACCCTCTTTAATTTCGCTGCTGCGTTTAACATGCAGTGCTTTCAAACAGTACAAACTTTGGCTAACAAAAATGCGAAAATTAATGACTTCAGAGAAAATCTTAAAGGTAAATCTAAACTCAAAACTTTTACTTAAACTACAGAATTCGAGTGACTCACTAAAAGAGAGAGGGGGCATACTGCGCAGAGCAGTTAAACACTTAAGGCAATAGATCGAAGACTGACAAGCAGTCTGGCCAGGTTGCACATGATGATTAGCTGTACTACAAAAACATCGACATTATGTACCGCTAATCCGAGCAGTCGTCTTAAACTCCTGTGTGTTTCCAGACTGAGTAGTGAGGTAATTTAAAGACAATCGGAACGAAGTTCAAAGATGAACTACTGGACATGGAAAATTTAGAGAGCATAAATTTTTATACAGTGACACAGAGGTCCGTGCAACTCCGAGGATGCATTTTCTTCAAGCGCAAAAAATTTTGCCCTATCAAAAAGATACGAAGCGTTCAAAAAATGGCAGTTGTTAGAATTAACTGCATGGCCTCCCTGACACGCACACAGGCATATCATGCATTAAATTGTACGCCGATAATAAGTGATCGCAAGAACTGAGTGACCGCACCGCTACACATATTTTTTGAAACCCACACACTTTCATAAGCAAAAGAAACACGACCTTATACATTTGTACAACACGTGAGGCATCTCGAGTCGGGGCCAGATAGCCATCAGGACTCAGAGGCTCCGCCGCCATTTCAACTTCATC